GGTGTTTCCGGAGATACATCTCCAAAAGTAGAGAGTATTTTTGGAAGTGCATATGGTGCCTAAGAACCTCAAGGGGTGGGTTGAGAAATTCTCATAGTTTGTGGCATTGGGTGGCCTATCAGACAGTGGATAGTTATTTGGACTTGGTTTAAATTAGTTAGATGTTAGGGTCCACACTGTTGGGGGTGTCTAAAGTAAGAAGCAGATGGTGAAGGGAATTTTCTTTGTCTTCAAGAGATTCTGGTTCCATAATAAGAAGATGAAAAAGACGGTGACATTTGTGGCTAGTGTGGAAGCGTTCGTGCATTTGTAACAAAACCCTTGTTCATTACAATCTTGCAATTCTGTCAGTGGCAGTCGTTTGATTGAGGCTAATGTTTTTGGTGTTATTTGTTGTTTAATGGGTGAAGACATGATTGGAGGGGTAAAAAGGAGTTTTTAGCTCGGTGTTGGAACAATATTCTTAAAACCACGATCTCCTAGTTTCTCCTCTTGTAGTTTTTCCAAGATGATTGCATGACACAGGGAGATGGGTTGAAAAGCTTGTACTTCTCGGAGAATCTCTGGTTTCATCCTAGAAATGAAATAACTCATAAAAATTATGCTGGAAGGCCATTGATACGATTTTCAAGGGACTCAAATGTAGTTTGGTAGTATTTGACTGTGGTGGTTTGACAGAGCTTGAAAAGGGCTCCCTTTGGGATGTCGTAGTACGAAGGTGCGAAACGGAGTTCTAAGGCATGGAGAAATTGTTAGCAAGAAAGGAGTTAACCATTGGAATGCATTCATTGGTAGCAGGTTAAAGTTTCACCATGCTGTTGAAGGTGTTGTTGATTTTGTTGGAAGGTTTGTTGGTTAAGGAGAAGTTATTGTAGGGCGGTGTGAATATCCTCGTATGAAGGAGGTGGCGTGGTCATGGTGAGCAATGAAAGAACCAAAGCAATACTATGGTTTTGCATAGAAGCTTTGCAGCAAGAGAAAAAGGGCAACTGGAATTAAATAACAAACAACAAAAACTTCAATATTTTTCATGCCATTTCCATTTCTTTGCATCATGTTATATACTCCAATAGAGCAATAACAACTATCACAATGAATTAGCAATAATATAACATGATTTCAACAATAGTATATAATTGCAATTCATCAAAACCGAATTTTTAGAGGTGTGGAAATGTCTTGGCTTTCTAGGATCTTCATTTTTGGCAGCTAGTCAAACAAATAGTCCCACAAATGTTTGGGCCTCCTAGTTTTTCTCTTATTTCTCACAGGGGGTGTGTTTCTAAGTAATTCCTCATCAGCAATAGGCACATCCTTTTCAAGGCCCGTTTCATCTTCATGGGTCATAACAATCAACAATCTAATAGATAAACTTCTGAGGTCTTTAAAAAAGTTTTAAAAAAATATTTAGAGCATTTTATATTGCACCCCATGTATCTTTTTCCTACCGTGTGCATTTTCACATATGCCTCCAGATTTCTAAAATATATCTCCGGACGCACCCCACGTCTGGATAAACACTAATAATATCATGGAGATATATCTCTGAAACTATTTAAACCTTAAACGATCATATCATATCTCCTATAATCCATTTTCAATTGAATATTTTTGGAGATATATCTACGAGAACTTTTCGGAGATATATCTCTGAAGTGTATCAGAACAGTTTTTTTTTATAATGCGTTGTGTATTTGTTTGCAGATGAAATATAAAATAACAGACATATAAAATAATATAACAAAATAATATAGTAATAAAATATCGTACGACACAAAATCCAAAATGCAGTAGCAATGTCAGGGAAAATGTACAAACTATAGTTTTGCAACAAAATAAATATAGACAACTACTGGGTGTGCCTGAAAACCTCTCTTCTACCTCCTTTGTCTGGTCTACCTCCTCGACCATCGATCTCACCCGTCCTTGTGCAATGTCTATGGTACAATAGTTTCCCATGTGCTTCCACAACCACGACATCCAGTACTCACCGCACACTAGAGCCCTTAGGGAATATACCCACGTCAATGTCTGCCCGCACAATCTCCACTATGCAACGAAATCGAGGCAAAACATTCTTATTATGATCTAGTTGAGCCTGCTCCTCCTCTAGAATCTCCTAATGAGCGGGTCTCAGCGGATCTCTTGGAGAAGTCAACACTATGGATGTGAGACTCTGAAGAACCACCTGATGTATCTGTCGACGTAGCTCTAACCATTAAGTGATATGGTAGCCCGAGCCTCATCCAGTACCAGATGGATATGATAATCAACAAACATCTACTTTATCTATATACGAGTCAAAGAAGAAGGAGTAGAGACATCAGGATGTCTGTGGATGGTCTAGGTGTACCTGAACTGCGGCATGACGCGCTCGGGCAGATGAGGAGCAGTGATACTCGACCCGCAGGCCAACCATCCGGAGTATAGTGATACGTCCTCAAATGGTCATTTCTGGAGGTGATCCACGTAGTAGTTGGAATGGATGTCCTTGATAGCCAAGCAGTCAAGATAGACTCTGAAAGGCTAGGTCGCATGGTTCCCTCTCAGAGGGACAAAAGCACAGGCACATGGCATCTCCTCATTGTACTCATCCCAACACGCCTAACCAGCGATGCGCGGGAAGTGCTGAAGGATCCAAGCTTAGAATGAAAATAAAAAGCATTCAGGGATCAAAAGTTATCGCAAATATGAAATGAAAATGAAAAAAAATATATTCAAGGATAAAAAATTATTACCATCAATAGTGTCGTGTTGTCTGTGACCTGCTTCGTCCTCCACTGACATCCATATCTCAACTTCGAATACAGATAAGCCAAGCAAGCCGCCCTCCAGTTGTACTTATGAATTTGTGTGAGATCCAAGAAGTACTAGAGGTATGCAACGTCAGTATAGGTGGCACTCATATCCATAAAAATCACAGTGCCAACTAAATAAAGAAAATATGCCCTCAAAGCATGAGTCCCGTGTAAGTTCACCTGCTTGGCATCACCATCAACATGTTGTGCAGCAACGATCTCACCATAAAATAACCTCTCCAGGAACGAAAACCTAACATGAGTGCCCCTAGTCCTATCCACCTCCTCAAACGCCTTCCCTAGATCAGCCCCCAGGTGTTCTACCATCATATCGACCGCCTCGTCTTTGATCATCCACCATGATGAAGGAATCTCCCCTTGATCAGAAGATGCAACAAAGACAAGACATTGTCTAGGGTGATAAACATCTCACCATGCGGAAGATGAAAATAAGACGTCTCAGAATATCATCTCTCTTCGAATGCATTAAGCATCTCGTGGTTGACCAGACTATAACCGGTCATGCATAGGTCACGCAATCCAGAAGCAGTCAGAACTGACTGAAACCAATGGTCTTTCGGCTGACGCAATGCTAAAATCTTTCTCCCGTGGTTTAGAAACTTATGGGGATCACGCACCTGCAAATTTACAGAAATATTCAATGTTAGTAATAATTATTGTTAGAAATAATCAATGTAAACAATTTAAATTAACGTAAAAAAAATTACACTAATGTTACCTCTCCGTCCCAGATATGTCTGACAGTGTTGTCTGGATATAGAAGAAGTATGGACATATTAGATGGGCCTCCTCCGAAAGCCTCTGGCTCGGCATCAGCAACCTCACCCTCCAGAGGTGGTACCGATACATCAGGATCACCAACAGAAGGTGAAATCGGTGTAACAGGATCATCGACGGGAGGTGGCACTGGTGCATTCGGACACCTGCGGGAGGATGGGGGAAGTGACGCGTCAGCTGGTGCATCTCGTGGTTTGCGGGAAGAAGACGTAGAAGGTGGAGTGAGCTGAGATTTAGATGGAGTGGTCTGAGGTGAAGGTCGAGCCTTAGGAGTCGACTGAATCTCAGGAGTAGACTATTCCCCAGCAGTCGACGCCTCTCCCTGACCAAAGGTACCTGCTGCCTCCAGAACTGGCTAACTCCGCTTCTGCCAAACGAATGCGTGCTAGGAAACCTGTCCATGCCTCAGTCGGTCGGCTCTATCAGCCATTATACCTGCAAGGTAAAATTAGTCGTACAATGAGTTTACGCAAATGAATAGCACAAACATGAAAATTATAAAATAAAAAGAATAAAAAAAATAAACTGAGGAAAATCTGAAGATATATCTACGGAAACATTTTGTAGATGTATCTCCAGAATCTCCCAGAGTACATGAAACGTTGAATTTTTCCAGAATTGTATCTCCAGAATTTTCTAAAAGTTGCAATTCATTAGAAGTTGCAATTCATTAAAATTACATTGAAACAACAAATACTCCAAGTTATTAATACCAATAAAGTGCCTCTTCTACTATTTGACATTAAAAGTTGCAATTCATTAAAATTACATTGAAACAACAAATATGACTTAATGAAGGGCAATATAAGTAAAATAGTTTTATACTATATTAAATGTAGTAACTTTTACTTATAAAAGAGAACAAAAAAGTTATATTTTTGTTTTCTTATAAAAGGGAATGGAATAAGTACATGTCTTATGGTCAAATCGGTCACCATATTTAAATTTGTCAAAATTTAGTTTTCTTGTGTAAATATGAGCTTGATTTACGTATCAAAATTCTTCAAAAATAAACAAGAAATCTCAAAGCTTGCATATTTATATATATAATATTAACTTTGATTCTATTAATAAGAGAAAATTTATTTTAAGGAAAAACCAGATTTATTAATTATTTGATAAATTAAAAAAATTAATTTTTTCTTATAAATAAAATCAAAAGTAGGAGCTAAGAAACAAGCCTCCTATGTCATTATGACCATAACTACATTAGGTACAATAATTTGACTACATTTAATTCCTCTAATCTCTATAAGTTAATATTACTAAGTCTGAACTTTGGAACATTTTAGATTTCACAATAACATAATCAGTTTAAAAATGATTATGACAGTGAATTTGAAATCGAACGGTTGACATCGATAATTTAGTGTGACGCGTGCAACATGTCCAAATCCGAACATTCTACCTAGATGGGAAGAAGCTCATGCAAATCGGGGGACGAATCTTTAACAAAGCAAGAATGGATGAAGGAAGAATCCATAATCCATCTCCACAAATCAAACCAGAAGCAACTGCAGGAACCATCAAACCTGCTTCACTTTTGTTCAAGATATGCCATGCAAACACAATCAAACTTCCCACACACATGTCAATGGCAAAGTAACCACCAACAAGAAAAGGCACAGCCATAGCCATTGGAAGTGGAATCCATCTCCCGACTTTTTTCGGGCCAAGATCTCTCACCAAATTAGCCACTACTGCAAACACAAAAAATCCACAGCACAATTGCAAGCAGTGACGTGGAAGTGCGGAAAAACCTTCCACGCCCAAAATTGCCATGTTTCTATATATAATAGCATACGGAGCCTTGTAAATACCATCTGGATTCCCAACATCAAAAGCCTTGTAAAAAAGGAAGAATGTGATAGGAGCAACAATGCAACCTATTGCCGTACCAATTGCTTGGCTTACAAGCATCGAACGCGGTGAAGTCAATGTGAGATGGCCTGTCTTCAAATCATGCATCAAATCAGATGAAATCGAAACAATTGATTTAATCAAACCACACCCTACAAGTCCAGCAACTACACCATCACTTTTTCCAGCCAAAGCTGCAAGGACAAAGAGAGCTACTTTTCCGTAGTTATAGGCCATATTCATATCGGTTAATCCAGCACCGTAAGCATTGCAGAAGCCAAGAGAAGGCGCAAAAATATATGCAAACAGGACAAAATACCATTTCACCTGAGGGAACATCAACGGGATTACAACAATAGAGATGACGGAGAAAAATATGTATCCTGTACAAGCCAACCATATTGGAATATTTTCTCTCGCAAACATTTCGTTGCGTCTTAGATCATCAAGAGGTAACTGTTTCTGGTTACCGGAAACTGCAAATGACGAGAGTATGTTGAGAATGTGAATGAAATCCTCATAGACTGGAAAAATTATAAGCTATCACTTACTTACATGTATGATTAAGATTCTTCTTTTTCATATTGGCGTGGATATTTGTGGCAGTGAAATAGAGAACTTTGGCAAAGTTGTAAAAGCCATCACCAAGAATCAAGGCAATGGAAATGAAAACCTGGAGCAATGGATAAAATCTGATAAGGTCTAAAAACAAAATAATATAGATTTATTAAGGTCCTTTAATTAATTCAAGCTAAAGTTAAACCTTATAACCATTGAGACTCTTCATGCTACTTTCTTTTATATTTGCAGGGAACCATTCTCCTTTTAGTCCTCTGATTAATGGCCACATGATGCCCCATGAAACCACAGCACCAAGAAGTAATGATAAATTAACAAGATGAGAACAGATCATTCCTGCTCCAACATAAGTCATACTGAAATCGAAGTAAAATCTGCGAAATTACAGCGCTTTAATCAGCAACAATTAAATCATTATTTCATATGTAGCTGAGAACTTTTAGTACTGCTAGTAGGAGAACTCACGAGTTTTTCCATGCTTGCAATCCAAAAGTAGGAAATTGAACAAATCCACAAGTATCTCCACCTGTAAAGAACCACTGAAAGAACGCCCAGACAAAGCTCGATGCAAAGAACTTCACGAATCCATGAACCTGCTTCCTGCAAAAGAAGTTAAACTAGTTCAAGAAACTCAAAAAAATTAAAACTAAAATCAAAGAAAAGACAAAACATGTTCATACTTGGCCATGACATCTCCTTTAGGCGTATGGAATCCATTAATAAGAACCGCAGTAGCAGTTCCACTTGGATAAGTTAATTTGTAGTCTATTATCATAATCTGTTACACAACACAAATTCATCATCAACACCATTCAATTCAAATATAACGAAATTCCTTAGCAACACTCCACCCCTCATGAAATTAAAACTCTTAACACTGAACTAACACGTCACGGACAGAATCTTTAACAACATTTGAATGAACAAAATTATGAAACCATTCAATTCAATATTAAAATGGAAACCTTTCTAATAGGAACCAAAGCTAAAAGTCCAACAAAACTGGTCACAAATAGAAATGCTGTCATCCAACCAATTGAAGGCTCCTTAGTACTACCAGGAGTATTCCCCGGCGTATCAATCCCTGCTTGCTCATAAGTCCTCCTATTCAACCCCAATAGGTAAGACCCAAAACCACCTACAATTATCACACAAATTCACTTCAATAAATCACAAACACACACATAAACTTTATGTTATAGTAAGAAACTGTTTGGATTAAATTATTTGAGTTTATCGTGCGTAACTACCAGTCAAACTAACCTCCTACGGCGATGCTATAGCAAGCAACAGCACAAGTTTGAATGATGGTGTTCTCCTGTCTAGTAAACGGAATTGAAACAATCTTAGCTTTCGCAAGAATCTTAGTCCAAATTCGAATAAACACAAAGCCAAGTAAAGCCGCAGAGACATTTAGATTAGGGACTAATCCAGTAGTGAGATTGAGTTTCATGACAATCACACTATACATGACTCCAATTACAAAACTAGCTATTAATCCTCGAACTGTTATCTGTTTCCTCCAAGGTGCTATTCTATTCACTTCCTCATCCATCATAGCCACAGGACCCTCTTCAAGGTTTTCTCTTATCTCACTTTCTTCATTATTTGTAGCATCCATTGGATTCACAGATTCTTCTAATTTAGTAACTGAACCAATCATCAGAAAAAGAAGTAATTTTCAATGATAGGTTGAACTAATATAAAAACTCTGGAAAGATGAATTTATATTTGTGATGGTAAAAGTAACAAGAAATGAGAGTACAAATATATTAGTAGTAGTACAAAGTTTTGTTGAAATGTGTTGTACTAGACGAATGTATTGCAAATTGCAAGGCACTTTCTTGTAAGTTGACTAGCATATAGTGACATTTATAGTGGTTGGAAAAAGAGAAGAGAAAAACAGTTGGCGTGAGTGGCACACGCTACTGGAACTGGGAAGATGAAAGGTCAACCACTCTAAACCGGAACCGAATAATAATAGGATGCGGGGACCAGGTGAGTTATGGATGATGTGGGCCCGGCGGTGGTGTTGTGGTCCGACCACCGTTTGTTTTTGGTGCATTCATTTCTTACCCAAACTGGACTTGATTGACGTGCGTAACAGTTAAGCAATAAGAGAGTAAACCAAAAACAAACTAAGAGGATTTCTCTCTGGTTGGTTTGGACCATTGAAATTGCACTTGCGTTTTGCAAACAAAAATGTTGATGGATCATTTATGTATTTTTAAATTAGAAAATAATAATTCCTTCCTTGTCAAGAGCCCCTTGTCCTTGTCTTTCTCTTCTATGAACCTCTAATCTAATCCCTTTCCCAGTTTGCTAATGTCCTCTTGTCGTTGTCGCTTCTAACGTTGGCAGATATTTCTAATACAGTAAAATATGTTCCTTGTAAACGAAAGCCTAATATGGTATTTTGTTAGTAAAGAAAATCAAGTCTGTTTTGTATTATTTAAATAGTTTCAGGACTCTTTTGAATATTATTTTAAAACTTACTAAATGTGATTTTAAAGAAATTTAATGAGTCTAATCGAAGATACGTCATGAATATCTAAAAAATACTTTGTTAATATTGTATGATTTCTTTTTAATTAGAGAGCATGAGTTTAAATCCAATTCTCTGCCCCCGTTAAGATATATATATATATATATATATATATATATATATATATATATATATATATATATATATATATATATATATATATATATATATATATATATATATATATATATATATATATATATATATATATATATATATATATATATATATATATATATATATATATATATATATATATGTATATAGCACACTAGGAAGATATTTGAGCTTTTGCACGGATAAAATTATTTGATATGGTATAAAATATATTTAAATGTGATTTTACTGTATAAGAAAGAGATCAGCAGCCAGCAACGCCTCGTGAGCTCCTAGTTCGTCGGTGGTGGAGTAGAGGAGGGGGTGTACCTGTAAGACATTCTGATGCTAAAGTGAGAAAAGGGAGAGAGTGAGCAAGTATAGAAAGCTATTTTAGAATATCTGACCCTCTTGTGCAAGAGGGTATTTATAACGTGCCCCTAGGAATGGGTCAACGATTATCTGTACTGGGTTGGATCTTCAGGTCCAATACGGATAACTGTCAGGATCTACGTGGCGTAGGAAAGACCAACACGTGGTTTTCGTCCTAGGTCAACTGCCCCGTGATCTTTGGAAGGTGGGTGACATGTTCTTTCGAACGCGGGTAGTTGCCTAATGACGTGTCCCCGCGTGGGGAGCACGTGGAGGCCGTGGGGAACGTGTGGAGGGCGTGGCCTCCAACGATAGTGGAAGATTGGGCCTGTGTTGGGTCCTCCCCGACGAGGAGTTAGGTTGGACCGTGCCCGACGGAGGGACAGCCTCTGGCCCAGTCCCTCAAGTCATTGCTCTGAAGCGTAGGAGTAATGACTTAAGTCAATCCTGATGTCGAAGAGGGTCACAAGGACTTGCCCAGAGGAGCGTTGCACGTGCTCGATGTGCTGAGCCCGCGGGGTGATGCGTTTGGCCAGACGTAGGCGTCAATAGTTGTGCGCGACAGCAGGGTCGACGACGAGTTCGATCTGCTCGCATGGAGGCCTGCTCGCCACACGCAATCGTGATTTTCTTTCCAACTTCTCCCGAGGACGTGTTCCCGGCAGCGCAAGGGTCGGGCATTATGCTCAACAGATTGGTGGTGTGACGTAAGTGGAAAGGAGTGGACACGTTATTCCCTCGAGCAGGGAACCGAGTATTGAAAGAACACGCGTGACGTCTCTTTGAGCCACGTGTCAGGAGCAATAAATGTCTATGATGGCTACGAGTAGGGGTGCTTGAGTGCCTACGAGACGCCTCGCTTCCCGCGCTAGGGATTATAAATAGAGCGGAGGACCAATTCATTTGCACGCTTCCCCCATTTTAGCTTAAGGATTTCTCAGCCTCAAGGTATTTCTGCTCTCTGACACTTGTTCCCCGCCGCTCTTAGCTCTTTGCTTTGCCGTCCTACTCCAGATTCTTCGCATAAGTAAGACTTCTATACTTCTCTTGAATTTATACTTTTCCGGTGTGTTATGCATTTCCTGGGGGATCTCTTAAGTCTCCGATGAATTTTCCGGGACATTCATGGAGTTTCTGGTGAATTCTGGGAAGGCCCATGAAGTTTCCAACGACCTCATGAAGTTTCCGGCAGAATCATGAATTTTCTGATAAAGATTTTGAGGACCTCATAAAGATTCTGGGAAAATGCATGAGGTTCGGGATGAAGGTCTCAGGGACCTCATAAGGCTTTAGCGTCCTCACTGGGTTCGACGTCGGGGAAACTTTCTCCCCGCGGATGCATGAGTACCGCGAGGAAGTCTCTAGTCAAGGAGACTTTCTATGTTTAATTAGGGGGAACTTAAGCGTTGAGGAACCTTTCTCCTGCGGGGGGAAGTTTCGTGTTCTGCATCGAGGAGAGTCCCCTTGCGAGGATGCGCTTGTCGGCAAGGGCTTCGGTCGGGGATGTTTGTCGAGCGTTTCCTCTCCCTTTCACTTGATTTGCGGTGGAAGGATAGATTTGATCTTAGATGTTGAATTCACAGTTTTCCTCTACTTTTCAGGTAAAATGTCTGCAAAGCCCGAGGATCTCGTCATGGTCGATGAAGAAGCTAAACTTGATCTGGTTAGCGAGGAAGTCGAGGTCATGGAGGCCGGTACACCGTTCGATTAGGTTAGGCAGGAGCCTCGCAGCATCGCTTCGCACTTCCCTTCGACGATTCAGATGCCTTTACGATCGTCAAGGATCTCGCCGAAGGGGCATCCGCGAACTAGATGGTCTACAAACCTAGAGAGACACATCGGATATGCTCGTCATTTAAAGGAATGCGGTTTCTGATGTACGAGTTTGCGTTTCGGGAAGCAGGGCTTCATCTGCTCTTTAGTGATTTTCAAAAGGGGGTATTCCAGTGGCTGGTTTTGGCTTCGTCGCAGCTTCACCCCAACGCAATCGCGTTTATATAGGCGTTTGAGCTCGTGTGTCAACATCTTTGAGTCGGTGCGACGCTCCCCCTGTTCTTTTGCATGTTTCACCTTCAGCGATAATCCGTACATGGCCGACACAGTTGGGTATCTCTGAAGCAACTGAGAAAGTTGTTCAGTGCTTACCTGGATTCTGTCTGTGCTTTTAAGGACAGATACTTTGTCGTAAAGCCCATATCACATTCGGACGTTGATTCCCTGTTCGACCGTGTGATCAAGCACGAGAACAGGGAACAAATGGAGGCTTTGGAAGCGAAGTTCCCCCTTGAGTGGCAGAGGGTCCACTTCAACAAGGGACGAACAACTACGTTACCAAGCCCGATGACCTGGATGTCGAGCAGCTCGCTTATGAGAAGATAGTCGCATTCGTCGACAATATTACTCCTGCCAAGTGTGTCATCAAGGATAGGAGTTTTATTAGTGACGAGCGCGGGGAGGTTCACCTCGAGTCTCGGTTGATTAACACTAAGGCCCTTCTGGAGTTTGGGTCCGACGGGAAAGCATTGAGGCTCTTAGGTAGTGGGAGTTTTTAGCTTGTTTGTGTGTATCCACTTATTTTCTCTTGTCGTGCTAACCTGTTCTTTTCTTTGTTGCAGGCCAGATGTCGAGCATTTAGGAACGCGTGATAAAACTCGCCGCGACCAAGGGTGTAAAGAAGGCTACCAAAGGCCGAGTCGCCCAGATCCAACAGTTGTCAAAGCTTGATCAGCATCCTGTGGGCTCTTCCTCGTCTCCGTAGTGCAACCAGTCTCCCCCTTCGCAAGAGAATTTACCTAAGAGACAGCGCAACGATGAGTCTGAGTCCTTGAACCTTCCGGAGGGCGTTGTCAGTGAAAGGTTTGTGTTGCCTCCGTGCCATCTCCATCGCGGGCTTTTCCGCGGGTAACTCCCTAATCATTCCCGCAGAAGAGTCCAAGGCAATCATGGGTGTTGACAGAGCGACCAGAAAAAAGGCTCTGCGCGAGGACGTGGTCGCCATGATAAGGGTTTTTGAGACGGTCTTGGTCCTCAACAATAAGGCCAGCCCCACCTCCGAGCTGAATACATTGCAATATGAGAATGCGCTCCTTTGGACGGAGAAGAAAAAAGCAGAGAACGACCTTCTCGACTACCAATAAAAGCACGAGGTCCAAGTTGGCCTTCTCCAAGACATGGCCGAGATGCGGAAAATGGTCGAGAAGGTCGAGGGAGAAAGGAACCAACTCCGAGCCAGGGTTTCTGAATTGGAGGTTGCTGCCAAATCCGTTGAGGATGAAACCAGCAAGGAGAAATCCCTCGCGACTTATAGTGACCTGGTCGCTCGGATCTAGGAGCTTGACCAGGATTGTTTGGGGACTCTCGATGTAGGGTTCATCAATTCTTTGGATCAACTTCAAATTGTGAATCTTGAGGTTCAACTCGTCACCGAGGGGGTCGACCATTTCCATCAGGTGGTCGACGGTCGGGTGGTCGCCCTGACTGTGGAAGGTGAAAGTGATGACCAAGCCGGGGGAGACCCAGCCAGAGGAAGAGGTGAATGTTTAGTTTTTCTTCTTAGTTGTTTGGCCTGCGCACCACATTTTGATTTTGACTTTTCCCGGCTTGCGTGCCGTATTTTGTAATCTAATTTCACCTGGCCTGCGCGTCGTGGT